CTGGGTCACGGCGTTTGTGAGGAGGAAGGAGGAGCGGGACGTGGTGGACAGGCTGAAGGTGGGGACATGCTCTTCTTACGGTGGGTAGAGGGGCGAGGGGTGAGGATCAGGAAGGCTGGTGCCCTGGGTGGTGGCTGGGAGGACACGCGAGGCCGGCTGTGCCGGGGGGGTTTGCCTTTCGCGGGGCTTCCAGCTGTGAGGCACTGCTGGGCAGCTGGTGCCGAACTGCTGCTGCTGCACACAGCAGCTTACAGCGGGTGTGCGCTCCGGGAGAAGGGTCTGTGTGCTGCCAGTTTTGTGCCAGAGTTAATTTTTCTCTCTACCCAGGGCACGGGAAAGTAATTACACCCCGGGGTTTAGGACTAAACGCATTTCATCCTGCCTTCACTTTCCCTTTTGTTTTAGGAAGAGCAGATCTGGAGGAAGAAGCGAGAAGATCGACTTGAGAAGATACGCCATAATGTGCACTTAAAACACGCAGCAAAGAGGAAGGTGAGTTACCCCACAGACATCAGGACGTTCCCTTTTGGTTACCTCTCACGCTTGCTTGTAGCTGTAACTTCACACAAAGTTTTCCAGCACGTCTGTCTGGGCAGCTCTTTGGGTTAGGTCGCAAAAATTGACCGTGCAAAATCTTGTGCTGGATTTCTTTTTGAGGTACAGATGAGAAAAACAAATTTGCATGGAGAATTTTCGGTGACAATGTTTTTGTATGGATAGAAACACCATGTTCTTCTGGCCCATTGCTGTTGCTTTAAAAGCTTTAATACTTGGATTTTAAAAATATATCTTTTTTTAATGCTCATACGTGCTTGTGAAAAACTCTCTACTTCTGAAATAAAACCTGTAGAACTGTGATTAAATTGAAGATCATGGGAACATATGACCCTCCTGAAAAAGCCAGGTCAGGCTTTGGTTGTACTTTGCTCACCACTAGGAAACATTTCTATTTGTTTACTTTCATAATAAAATGATTGTATTGTTCACAAATGTCTCTTTTCTACATATAAAAAAGTTCACAGATATATATATTCCTGCCATTTTGATGGGTGAACTGGCCTCAATACTCCTGGCTCTAAGAGCTTTTTGATTATATGAGTCAAACTTCTCAGAAATACCCAATTCAGGTCCCGAAACAGGCAGACTTATTATGTTGCCAGGCTATTAGTTTCTTGTGTGCTCTGTCTCACGTGCTGTATTATGTTTTGGTCAACTCCTGTCAAAAGGATGTGGCAGAAATAGCAAAGGTTCAGAGGTGAGTGGCAAATAAAAAGCAACTGGAACAAAAAACCTTTCGTCTCTTAACAGGAGATGAAAAGCATGTGAAATGAGAAGTGTGATAAAAGCAAGAAAGCAAATGAGAGAAATATTATAGGGTTTTGGAAAAGTAACTGATTCATCTCCTCTGTAGTGCTCATAAGTGTATTTCTTCATAATGCCATGGTAAAAAAAAAGGCTCATTGATGTTGGAAAGTGCTGTTTTCAGATTGAAAAAACAAACTTTCCTTTATCAGAACACAAAGTTAATCAGAAAACTGTTCTTCAACAGTTGAATGCAATTTCTGTGGAGGGGTAAACCTGTCTTAGAAAAAACCCCACATAACTGGAGAAAAAACAGCAAGAGAAATACAGTGCTCTGCATTCTAAAACAGATGCTGAGTTTATCGGAGCTTTGAGTTCAGTATGGACAGTGTTTGATTGTGTCCTTATATGTTTGGTTGGTTTGGTTTGTTTACACACTTTTTTTTCTCAGGAAAACATCTGTTATGGGCCACTTTAAGCAGTTGATACTGGATTACATGCATATTGTCATTTCAGGATTGTATTAGTTCAGTGAGCCTTTTGCACAGAAGGTTCTTTGTTTCCCCTTCATATATGTCTGTGTGGGCAAGTCTTTGGTTGTTGGTCACAGTTGCATTCTGTGGGGCTGAACAGCTTCAGACACTCCTGGTGCATTTGCTTGTCCTGCTGCTGTTTTACCCAGCAAACCATGCCCTGTGTTACATGTGAGGGACTGTTCTGTCTTCTGGCCTGTCCGTGGCATAAAGCATGCATATGCCACCTCTCTTTTTGTGTGAGAAGGAATGTGATCATGTGTTCCTTTCAGAGATCCGAGGAGGATGAGACAAACCGCCTTCTTCAGCTCAGCAAGGAGGTTCTTTCAGGGGGAGCTGGAATGGATGTTCTAGAGCAGCTGGATCAGAATGAGGAGGAACTGATTCTTGGTGAATATGAGAGTGATGAAGAAAAGAAAGTGGTATCTGGGTAAGGACAAGGACTGAGGGGGTTCCATGACAAGGACACATTTTCTGTATCAGTTTTGGCTTGCCTTGATTAAAGAGTGTTCACTTGTGATTGTGCAGATAAGCAGTTTCTTACTTGGTTCAAGCTGTGTAACTTAGTGGCTGTTCTGGGGGTTGCTTTGTTGTTTCAGGAGTGTTTTGTTTTTAAGCTTTTGTTAGACTGATTAGAGTGATCTGAAATGTTTTCTTTGAAAGTGCATCTTTCTTAAAATTCTTGGCAATGTCCTGCTTTTATCTATGCCCAGATTCCCAAAGAATACCTCTGGTTGCTCAGTGAATGGCTCGATCAAGTTCCTTGCATTTGAAAGGCAAAGTGGAACTCAGGGCATCAGAGGAAGCTATGAGTCCTGCAGATTGGCACTGGCATCTTTTGATATACTAAAGGAAGAGATGTTCACATTTCTAAAGAACAAGCTTCAGCATGAGAACCCCACACACACTTTTCTTTCTCCTATGTTTGCTTTATGCAGA